AGCACTTGTTTTTATGTTCAACAAGATGTTTTAACAACTCTGAAGCTGTTGGGGACCAGGATATGGATCCTAAAAATTAAGCCAACCTCTAGGAAGTAGAGTGAAAGATGCTATAATTTGATTCCTAAATCAAACTGACCCAGAAGGCAGACTTATCCCTTATCTCTTATTAATTTCCCAAACCAATAAATTCCTTTCATGCTTAATCTTATTTCTATTAAATTTCTTTTACTGGCAGTCAAAGAATCCTAACACACTGTAGGTCTGAAGCTTTTGTATATATGAAAATCACTTAGGGTAGCTTGTGAAAATGCAAATCTCTGTTCCCCAAACTCACGATACAAATTAGGGTCCAGGAACCTGCATTTAAGAAAGAGTTGTTGCATTTTAACAGTTTTGTTAAAATAGTGCACCTGAACTGTATGCACACCTGCATAATGCAGATGATTGGTGGACCAAAGCTTGAGAAACACTGATATAGTGAATGCAAGTGATACCAGTAAACAACAACATCAAAAATCAGGGGAGGTGGAAGGTATCACATAGGGGCTTAAAAGAGAGTCCATCGTTTTTCCTGGTATCACAAATGGGAAAATTCATTGAGGAACCAGGAGTGGATTCCATATTCAATGCTTCTGTATTTAGAGAATCTTTACTTATTTCCCATTACTATTAAGATTTCTTCATGCTTTATGTGGCATGATCTATATATATCTCAGTTTGTCTGGGACTGCCCAGGGATTCACCTGTAATTCTGGTGTAATTATTAATAACACTTCCATACTCAAAGTGTCCACGGTTGGATGATAAATTTTATGATTACTCCCTTGCTTCGGGGCAATCTGCACAAAAAGGAGTTCTTTGTCTTTCTTGTTGCATTTGCTAAAACAAACATACTTTTTTTTTCTATTTTATGACCTTTAATAGCAGAGACTTTGATATCCTAAAATCATTACAGCTAAGACTGAAAGTCTCAAAATCTCAGAAATACAAGTATCTCTTGTGCCGTATGAACTTACAGTCATGTTATAAAGTCACCTGGAACATCCCATTATTGTTAAAATTGGCTTATTCTAAGACAGTGGCACATAAACCTACAATGGGAATCACAGTGGGAAATACATTAGAAATGTGAAAAGAATGCTATATGAACCTTGGGAGAAATGGTATCTCTGCCAGTTCGTATACAGCCTGGAGGTCCGCTGCCAGGGATTAATTTTGGGACAACTATAACTTCTGGCCAGTTGATAAAGAGATACGGTGACAGAGAGACAAGATGAGAGAGCTCTTTGGCAGTTAAGGGAAGTGATGTCAGTGCCATTGTCAAAGATTTTTAAGCACCTGGAATGGAGAGATTTGTCAGAGGTGTCTATCACAGAAGTTTAGGTTTCTACTAAACTAGTCTATTTTTAAAAAATCTTGAATTTCTTTGATTTTCTTTACTAATGCTAATTACAAATATTAAACACACAAAATGGCTTTCTTGTGTTTTACATGTAATCAAGGAATAACTGGTATTTAGTAGTGACTTTTTCCGCCCTTAAAATAGGTATACAGTTGTTAAATATTCCAGGAGATATTATGGTTCCATATTCATATTTTTAATGTTGGAAGAATTTAGTTCAGTGATTTCTGCCTAACAACTGTTGTTTCAAGATAATTTGCCCACTGCTTGTTTGGTTTTCCTCAAACACAGCTGTAAGTTCTTTCTTTCTATATTTGGAGACGGAGTGACTGGTGGCTAGGCATCAACCATCTGGAAGAGGGGTGTGTTAGGTGGAAGAGAGGACAGGGGACACAGCAATGCATAGCTTCACTATATGGCCGGGGAGTCATTGTTAGACTTTTCTATGTCCTGTATCCCTGCCCTGATCCTGACTTCTGACTCTATGTTGTCAAAAGAGTAAATGACAGTCTACATGCAGTTTTTGTCATTTTTATCAGACTTAATGCCCCCTTTTTAGAGTAGATATTTTGTTAACAACCTTTCTACTTTTCTGAAATTAAATTCATAGATCAAGCTACACATTTGCTCTTTTTTTTTTAAAAAAGAAATAAATATGACAATAATAATATAAGAACAAACTTTATGGAAATAAATCATAATAAAATAATAAATATTTCAATACATAATATTCAGCCATGACTCACAAAGAGACATAATAAAGTAGTCAAGTGCTTGCACCTAAATTTAGATTTACCCTGAATGTAATAGCTACAGAAACAGAGTGATATAGGTGTGTTCTATCAGTGCCTCAAATAGTATGAGTAGCTTAGCCATTGGTGACATGATTTTTCAAAAAGGGATAAACTCTTGGTACCGTTCAGAAAAAAAGGACGATCTTCACTTATATTACACATCGTTTCATTCCTAGAAATCTAATATATATTAAAACATTGCAAAAATACTTTGTGCTTATATGTGAAATTCAGTTCTAGGCACAGACAATTATAAATAGGTTTTTTACCCATATGAACATCTGGAAGAACATTCAAAAGTCATGCATGACTTGGGGCAATGTTTCAAGGTATGGGACTGCACTGTGCATTTCAGCATGTCTGGAAGCCCTGGTGCCTTCCCACTAAACAGTAGCAGTGCTCTCTACCCTAATCATGTGTCAACTAAAATACCATCCCCCATTTCTGAGGTGCCCTTTAGGGGGTGGCATTAACTCCCCTTAGAGCACTACTAGCCTATACAATCTACTCCAGCCAGGAATCATTTACATGAGAACTTGTTTCCATTTTTTATTTCAAGTTGCATTATTGGAGGGACCTATCGTTAAGTTCCAAGAAGGATCTTTTTGGGATGGACTGGTGGATTCTCAGAAAATAGTGGAGAGTGGACAGAATCTGTATTATCCTTTATGAATATTATTTTATTTAAATTACAAGCAATATCAAATTTTAGGTGGTGTATAATAATAGATATTTACTTTTTGTCACTTACTAGCTTGTGGGTCAGCAGGGGTTTTGCCAGGGTTCAGTAAAACTTAGCTCTAGAATGAAAGTCAAAAATGATTGCTGGTACTGCCACTGATGCTGGAGAAAATTTTTCATACTTTGAACATTGTTAGAAACTTTTGATACAAAGTCCCCAGTAGAAGAGTCTAATTAGCATAGCTGAAGCCAGCACTTTAGCTGCAAGAGGGAACACGATTTGGTAGGTGGTTGACTCTGCCTTCAAGATTCATAAGGTGTGGCCAGGTGCGGTGGCTCACGCCTGTAATCCTAGCACTCTGGGAGGCTGAGGTGGGAGGATCGTTTGAGTTCAGGAGTTTGAGACCAGCCCGAGCAAGAGTGAGACCCCATCTCTACTAAAAATAGAAAGAAATTGGCTGGACAACTAAAAATATATATAAAAAAATAGCCAGGCATGGTGGCACATACCTGTAGTCCCAGCTACTTGGGAGGCTGAGGCAGAAGGATCGCTTGAGCCCAGGAGTAAGAAATGCAAAGAAAAAAAAAAAGAGATTCATAAGGTGGGTTTATCAGTCAACTTGGGTAAAGTTATGCTACTGAAAAACAACGTCCTCCCAAAATTTCAATAGCTTAAAATGATAAATATTTGTTTTTTCTTATACAACATATTAGTTGTAGAGTATAGTGGGTCCTGGGTTCATCATAATCTGTCTAGATTCTGGGTTGCTGGAGCAGCTATCATCTCAAACATTGCTATCCCATGTGCCAGAATCAGAAAGCTTGGTGAGGTGGCTTTTAGAATACCAAGTGGCCACAACAGAACTCACTTCTAATTCCATTTTATTATCCAAAGCAAATTAAATGGCCATATATAATTCTAAGGACAGTGGAAGGTATAATCCTGTCATGTGTCCAATGGAAGATTCTACAAATATTTGGTGTACTTAAGTAATGACAACCACGGTGGGAAATTTCCCAAACATGAAAGGGAGTTCAGATGCTGTGCAACCAAAACACAAGAAAACCAACATCCACTAGAGATTGTTTTATTTTTATCTTTTCTGTGTTTTACCATGCTCAATCTAGCTCAGTAGCTATTAGTAACATAGTAGGTGCTGAATGAATGTTTGTTGAATAAAAGGATGAATATGAATATGGTTGTTTAATTTACCAAATCTGACTATAATTAAAGCTTAAAGAGAGTTACTTTGCTATTTTAACTCCACACTGTGAAGCAAGATAAATATAAGTGTCATTTGTATGCAATGTTGCACTTAGAAAACTTGAGACCCAGAGTGGTACAGAGGAAAGAGAGAGAAAAAAGATGTTGTTTCATCTCAATATCACTTTAAATGTATTCACCTGTTGGTTTCCCCCCACAACAGGGAGACTGTCCCCTGCACTTAGTACATAATTTGGGACATGTTAGGTAGTCAATAAAAGTAGTTCTGCTATCTCTAGCTGTGTAGTCTCGAAAGTGACATCAATGTAGCCACAGGTTTTTTAGGTGTGCATGTGTGCACACATACGCGTGCGCGTGCACACCCCCCCCCACACACACAATATCTTAGTAGTTGTGTTATGTATCGTAAGGAGCTCCAAGACTGGAGAGCAATACAACTGTACAATTGTGATTGTCATGTGATATATTTACAGCATAGTGTCTGCCACAAAGTATCCATTCATGAGCCGTTTACTGACTTCTAACAGTAACCATCTGCTCTATTCTTAATGTGAAATAAGGGGCGGATATCTAAGAAAGCGTGTAGTGCAATTACAAAAGTTTGCCTAGGGTTCTGTGGAGAGCGGTTTAGGGAACCTACTTCCCACCAAATAAACAATAATAATCAATGGCCTTCGTCGTCATCTTTCAAAGGTCAAAGACTTCACACAGCTGCCAACGGACACCCAGAGCTCGCGTTCATTCCTTTGCTAACCAGGACCCCTCCCGCTAGCCGTCGGCCAACTGTCGCAAAGCCCCGCCTCTCAGGGCGGCCCTCCAATCGGCTGCGCGGTCCGGGCCCAACCCCCGCGAGTCACGTGACACAGGCAGGCCCGCTTCCGGCACGTCGCGGGCGGCTGACGTCGCCGGGCCCGGCGTCGCGTCAGGGCTGGCCGGCGGCGGAGGCGGCGGCAGCGGCGATGGCAGCGGACCCTGAGCAGGCTTGAGGGCTCAGACCCAGCTCGCTCCCGCGCAACCTCGGGCCGACTCGGTGCTGCGGCCTCAACTCACTTCGCTCCTGCTCCCTCCTCAGCCGCTGCCTGGGCGGAGGCGGAGGCAGAGGCCCGGGCTGGCTGCCCTGCTTGTGCCCCGGCTCGGCCCCGGACTGCCCGGCTGCTGTGCGGAGAGGAGGCCGAGTCGGTAAGAGGCGGCGGCGGGGCTTGGAGACCGCCTGGCCCCCGCCTGGCCGCCCGGGACGCCCCCGCTCTGGTGTCTGTCCCCGGCCCACTCCCCTCCCGCTTCCCTCTCCATAGCTCGCCGGCCCTATTGTCTAGGCGCCGCCGCTCCCTTTACCCCTCCCTTCCTTCCCCCCTGCCGAGGGCCGGACGGCTGTCAAACCTGGAGGCTTCTCCGGCTCCCTGCCAGCCCTTTCTCAGCCTTTCCTGCCAGTCTCTTGCCATCCTCCTCCCTGTCCCGCCTCACCTCCCTACCTTTTTTGGCCTCGCGGTCGTTCACTGACCATTGCTTCACTTTCTCTGTGTCTGTCTTCTTGCTAATTTTCTCTTCCCTCCCACTTATCATCTCCCCAGACTTCCACCATCCTCCTATTTATTACCATTTTTTCTTGCTGTCCTTTCTGTTTTTACTCCTCTCCATGCTTTCTGCCCCCTTCTTTCCAGTTTCCCCCCCAGTAGACTATCTTACTTTGTAAAAAGTTCCTTCAAATCTCTCATCATTCTTTCGTCTTGCCCCCAGAAGAAGGAAATCTTGCCTTTTCTGGTACCTCTTCTCTAAGTGTCAGTGGGGGAATTATACTTCTTCACTCTTTCAGTTATTATGGGCTCTAATTTGATCATAGAAGATGTTAGTGTAACTGATGAACTACCCCTTACTGAGTTCTTGTGAAGGACAGCACAAAAGGTTGATTAGGTTTCTACACAAACATTTAAGTAACTGCTTTACATGTTGCACACTGACAAGACCTCTATTAAAAATACTCATACGTCTCTTCCTTTTGCACCAATACATCCTGGCCAAACTTCTTGTTGACTTTTAATACACTAATTTTTGCTGATGCCATGCCAGGAGAGTATCCTCCTCCCCATCGGTATTTATGTTTGATTTCACATATTTTCATCGCGAGTGTTGATGCTGATTTTTTCCCTACCTATCAATAGATTCTTTCAAAGAGAGAGGAAGGGGCAGTTGGAATTTTATCTTTGCGGTTGTTTTGTCTATTTCGAATTGTGACCAAACCATTTTTTTTTTAAAGTGACACAGTTGTGTGGGTTTTTTTTCCTTTTTAAGCTGGAGGGAGAATAGTCTAGTAATCTTAAATATCAAAAAATGTTTTAGGGATCTCTCTCCCCATAACAAAAAATTTACATTCCCGATTGTCTATTATAGTTTGATTAGGCTATCTCAAAATGTATTCATATTCTTCAAATACTCAGTGAAAAAGGGGCCACCTCAAGTGTGCCGGGTGGCTGGTGTGGCCAGAAAAGATAGGGAATAGTTTGCATGTGAATTATCTAGACTCCATTGCAGTTTTTTGTTTATTTTAACATTACAACCAGTTTTATTATCAATGCAGGCCCTGTCCATATTGAAATATAGTAGAAATAAATTCCCAGAGTTAAGGAAATTCTTATCATTATTGCTTGTTGAACATAAAGTATAAGAAGGAAATTTCCTTTGCAACACTATATGTTAAAATTATTGAATTATTTGATCCCTAAGTAAGGGATCATAGGTAATGAAAATCCTGATCCCAAGGGGAATTAATGTAATCTTCACTGTTGGAGGGGTGTGTCTACTGTTTCCTCCATCTTTGTGTGTTCTTGTGTCTTATCTAGTGTTTTGTATTATGGGGCACTGAATAAATATTTGTTGAAACTAAATTAGAAACTTGATTAATTTCTCAATAATTTCAGTAATCATATTCCAGAACACTCAGCTGTCTTAATTTTTCAAAAATGGAACAACATTTTCAGCTGTCCTTGTGGAGAATTTTCTTGGGCATTTTCAAGTTGTAATGCCCCATTTATTGATTCCTTTTAAATAGTTATCTTTTCTATGACCTTTTTCTTAATTCATTATCAAGATTGCATGCAAGTTGCACAGTACTTTACCTAGAGATTATGGTAATCATTATTCAAATTTCTTATAAATTTGGCAAGTATTTTAACTTCTCATGTGTTGTTTTAGAAATTCTGTTTAATTTTGCCTGTTCCCTTATACTACGTTTCCAATGCATTTTATGCATTGGAATCTAACCTTTTTTTTTTTTTTTTTCCCTCTTGAGGTAGTGAAAAGAGAATACTGAAGAATAGGATCTCAAGATGAGTAAAAAGCCCCCAAATCGCCCTGGAATCACTTTTGAGATTGGTGCTCGTTTGGAGGCACTGGACTACTTACAAAAATGGTATGAAAAATACAGAACTGACCTAAAGCACAATATCCATAGTCTTACATACGTTGATTAATTGCCATTAATTCTACTGATGGTAGCAGAAACATGAGTGTATTCACATTTTTAATGCACATATACATGTTTTTTACTTTTCCTACTCCTCAGGCTTTTCAGGTTTAACATTAAGTATTAATAACTATTTTTAGCCAGAGTTATTTAGTATAATTATTTTAGGTGTTTTAGAACTGAAAGTAATTGTCTAGAATATGAGGTATATAGAAAGTATTAATATTCTTATATACTTAACATGATTTATATTGGTAAAGGTAGAGAGGGGATTAATTCAGATAACTAGTTTCCCAAATTTTGGATAAATTTTCATATAAACCTGTTTTCCTGGCCTGTGTCAGAGGTGATCTTTCAAACTACAGAATGTATTAATGGTTAGCATAGTATTTTTTCATAGTATACACTTTTGGAAGTATCTCCACTATTTACTGTCTCACCTAAAACCAAAATCACTCTTAACCTCTTCTTTCCTCAGAGGGCAGGAAAGACAGGTTGTTACTATCTGCAGTGCTAAATGAGCAGTCTTCTCAGACCTTCCATTTCTTCCCCTATTCTGGCCATCTGTGGTAAGTGGTAAATTTAGCCCCTCACCCCCAGCATCTCCTTTATATAGTGGTGTAGGAAAAGTTGATTAATTGGTATAAAACCACCATCTGGAAAGGAGAGAAGGGGAAGCAACACACAGGGGCCATGGTAGGAGTAAGGAGAATCCCCTCTCCTCCCAGAGAGTGTGTTCCTCACTGGGTTAGTTGACTCCTAGTTCTGCTCCTTTGGCAGATGTCTTTTTGTTATGGTTCTCAAGCTCCTAACCTGAGAGGGGCATTAGAGAGGTTCCCCTTTTGTGAGTGGCATTGCCTTTGTCTTCCTGAAGCCCATTTACTTTGATGAAGGGTCAAGGTGTTTAGCAATTCTTGGACTTTATCTATCAGACTTTTTGACATTTTCTTTCACTTAAAACCACAGTGGGAATTTTGTAGATTTGCTTTTGATTGATTTGCATTAAGTCAATTTCCAGAGTTGGCAGGGGCAAGCAGAGAAATCTTGTTTAGTCATGATATTTGACTTGAAACTAGCCTGGGGTTTCTGTCTCTTGTCCTCTGGTGTTGGAGCTTAGCACACACTTCCTTGACCTCCAGCTTGGTGGCTTTTTGTCTTGAGAGCTGCTTTGTGACAACTGGGACTCCAGTGTGAGGTGGGGAAGCATGTTTACTTGGCTCCTCACCCCAAGCAGCATTTCTGTGAGTGGTTCTTTTTAGGGGGCTTAATTATTGCTCTTGTAAGTTGGAGAGTTGACAGGGTAGTTTTCAGGAGGGGCTTGGCAGTAGCATGCCTCTTGGTAGTGGTGATAAAAAATGTCTCCAGACGTTGTCAAATGCTGACTATACTGTTGACTAAAAAATGCTCCAGATCGAGAACTACTGCATTAGACCACACAACGAAAGATGCTAGTTTAGGCAGTAATTGGCTATCTTGGTTCTGATTTGACCAAGAGGAGCTTTTTACTCTGAAGGTACACTGTTGAATCTGTGTGTGATACAAGAGTATGAGAATACAAGAGTAAGAGTACTTGTTACTTCTTTGATGTTAATGTTAAGTTATTTATTTATTTTTTTAAGTTATTGGCTTTGTGAATAATTAGTTATTTTTTATTAATATATTATCTCAGGCTTCCCAACTGACAGTGTTGCAGTTGAACTAGATTCCAGTTTTGGAGAAGCACATTAGTTCTCTCAGTAGTTTTCAGGGATATTAACTTTGGTTTCAGGGATATAACTTTGGTTTTAGTGAGAAATTTACTTTTGGTGGTGAAATGTTTTCTGATTTAACAGCTATTAAATTTATGATCCAGTAGTTAGAAGAAAAAGATTACAAAAAAGAACTACTTTTAAAATAATGCCTGAATGTGCTTTTAGAGTATTCTGTGCTTTTAGAGTATTTGGAATTTCAGGGAACAAATGAAAGTTGTAGCTTCTCACCACAAAATTCATAACTGATTATTAGGGTAATATCATGCAAATGTACTCATTGATGAAGTTTAGATTTAATTTTAATGATCTGAGTAATAATGGTCTCTTTACTGTATAATGGTCCCTTTAAATAAATATTAGCCAGAATAATCACATATGATCATCACTGATACTTGTCATCACTTTGATTTTTATGAGCTCATTTATGTAAAGATTTAGCATTCTGCTTCAGGTGGCTCCTTCATTTTAAAAAGTTAAGAATATTATATATACATATTCTAGGTAATTCAAATAAATCATTTTCTTATTGTGACTTTGTTTATTAAAGTCAGTAGTCTCAAGAACTATAATAGTTAGGCTTGGGTGACCATTAAATTTATTATTGAGTGGTTTACCATATGACAACTAGGTAATTACTAAGATGTGTTGAATTTTTATATGGGACACAAAAGTTCTCTGAGATTAATGCTCTTAAAAGATTTTATTTCTAAATGGGATAATAAACTTTATTCTTCATATTATTCCATTTATAAATGACCATTCTATATTTCATAGAATTTCTATAATTTTTGCTTTAGCATTAGGTAAAAGTACAGGATTATTTGATTTGTTGAGAAACTTTGACATTTTTGTGAAGGAGCAAAATACTGTAGCTAATCATTGAAAATATACTGAAATATTTTTCTCCCTCTTCCCTGCCTCCCTTCTTGTTTTCTTCTCTCCTTTCGTTCATATTCTGTTTTTTGCATTTGTATTGAATGCTTAGTCTTCCAAATTTATTCAATTCTGTTTTAAAAGTATTGAGTCATATTTGATATAAATGTGGTTTGAACTATTATAGGCATTGGACAGGGAGGGAGGAGCAGGAATGTAAATCTTGCTTACTCTCTCTGTACTCTAGACATTTACAATAAGCAGTGTATTTATTATTGAGGAACTAACTTATCACATGTCAATACATTACCTTTTAAAGAGAAGTGCAAAAGGAAAGTGCTGATAGTGGATCACCAAAAAGCCTATTTGTTTGTCCTAGATATAAAATATACTTCATTAATAGAAAAGAAAAATAATTTTTCATATGTGTCTAGAAATAAAAGGATAAACTCAAAATTTAGTGGGCAAAAATAAACTGAAGTTAAGCTCCCACCTTTAGGTTTGGGGTAGATTTGATTTAATAGGAAGACTCAATTTATTTTTCTTAGGAAAAGTATATTACTGCTTTAACAAACTGTATCACGTATCTTAAAGCTCAGAAGTTATTCTGGAAAATACACTGTATATTTTTAATTAGCTTTAAGTAGTGATTTATTACTTTTTATTTTCAAAGTAACTTTACAGCTACATAAGAAAACTCATTGATGGTTGATTATTTACCAATACTAATCAACACAGGCCCTGAGAAGCTATCAAGAGGCCAGTCATATTCGGTTCCAGTATTTGTTTTTGATATTTGGATCTCTGTTATACTGACTCAACCTAATTCTTAGTAGTAGGGGCTGTTTTAATTTTTGAAAATTTTGTAATTTTACTTAAAACATTTTCTTTAACTTCTTTTTTCCTCAGTCATCTGCATAAAGACTTTAACATGCTAATGGCAGATAACACAATCAACCATTTTTATCTTATCCTTATGGTATTTTCCACTACACCCTCTGTACATCCAAATCTTGACATTGGGTTTTATAATCTCCTGAAAGCAGTAACATCATAAGAATAAAAGCGGATATAGATGTGTTGATACAGGAATATATTTGGGGAAAGAGAAAGTTCAAAGTTGAAGTTATATTGGGGCACTGTAAGTGGATGGATTTGAATTCAGGCTGTTACTTACTAATCCTGTAAATATGGGTAAGTCCTTTAAGTTAGTATGCTTATCATTAAAATGGAAGGAGTGTTACTGGCTTTTATTTATAGGTCGATTTTAAGGATCAAATAAAATTATTTAAACTTGCTTTAAATTCTACAAATTAATACATAATTATAAGCATTGAGGCAAGGGGAGAAGGAGAGTTGAAAAATAAATCTGCAGGGATCTGAAGGCTTAAGTGTGTAAGTTTTTAAATGTAGCTTTAGTGTTGGCATGAGAGTGGCCTAGAATCATGGAAGGAAAAACATGTCATTGCAAAAAGCAATCTTTTTGAGGTGATAATAAAATCCTCATATTTCCACAGAGTTTTACAGTTTATAGAACACCCTTGCAAATACTAAAGTTTCTAATCATTCTGAATATTGTCTAGTAAGAAAAGTGATAACATCAAACTGGTTTTGACTATTGATTTAACTTCTGTTTTTTGATTGAGATTAAAATAGTTATTCTATAGTAAGTGATTAGTTATGAAAACACAGCAGGACACATGGTGTGTTCTGCTGTTAATCTTAAAGGAAATTTGAAATATAGAGTCAATTTAAAACATTCAGATGAGTTATGCTCCTCTGACTTCTTTTGGAATATTTCTATTTAATTCTCTTCTAGATCTAAAGAAAAGGAAAATGAAAGATTAAAAAATCTGGAGATGTCTCCAAGTATCAGAGTTTAATAGAACAGTATAAATTTGAATTGGCAAATGCTGTTTCCACACATTTGGAGTTTTTTGAACTGTATGGAACATTTGCAAATGTGAGTTTTTAAGATGTTCATGAACAGAATTTTAATAGGGTGGGAAAATTGAGGAAATTTAGATTGTAGCAAGTACATATACTTTCTATTTAAATAAAAGTACATATTTTCTGAATAAAAAGTTGCTTTTTTTTCTAATTAGATTTAACTATTCAAAGGAAAATAATAGTATGGATAATTTGTGTGATCTATACTTAGTATAGGAGAATGCTCCTGAAAAGTAGTATGTAGATCAAATTTAATGTTGTAGGAACATTAGGTGAATACTTAATACTTTAATACTTTAAAATAGAGATTTTTTTGCTAATATGCATACAATTTTTGTTTTTGTATATTAAGTTTTTCTAAATTTGTATATA